TTTTTGTAATAAAAAATTTTAGCTAAAAAAAATCTTCGCTATAATACCAAATTCGGTATATTGAGGTTCGTTATATTCGAGGTTATACTGTATTAAAAATAAAAATTATTATGGAAAATTTATCTTAATTTTTCATAACCACTACTGTATAAAAGAGTGCAACTTTTTGCATACCCAGTATAACAAGGGATGCCCCCATACACAAAATGCTGATACTGAATTAATAATATAGTGTATCTCGTGTGATACACAGATTATTGAATTGGCTAATCAGACTAGAAGCATATATAGACTACGTATTGTACAATATTATTTTTTGTAAATTAAGATTTCTATAGATTAGAGTTAGGGTTGGGGTTAAGCATGGGCATGCCCCATGCCCCTGTGCACCAAACCCTAACCCTAATGATAACAAATTTGCATGTATTTGTTTTTGTTTTGATTATATGTTACACAGGGGAGTGTCACCGCCGGTTACAAGCACATTTTTTCTAACTATTAAACCAAATTTTTTTATATCGATTCTACATTAATATAGAATTAAAATAAAAAAAAATTTTAATAAAATTAATCAAGTAATTATTGAGAAACCTTCTCTAGAAGTATAAAAAAAATTAAATAGCCAATTACAATTAAGGATTCGAAGGCGTATCTACAACTCCCTGCTCTTCCTTGCAACCAATAAATAAATAGTTAATAATAATGTAAGTGTCAACGATCAGAATTGTGTAACTGAATAATGCAATATTTTATTGTAAATTTTAATTTAAGTTGATTTTTTTACGTATAACTGCATCTTTTTAAGTAAACTGGATGGAAGCACGAAAATTAGCGGACTGCCAAGAAAACATGGACAATATTTTACTGGACGGAAAAATATCGATATAAGGACGTACTTAACCTGATAATCGAATACGTATAAAATATGAAAAAATATCCAGATATCTAGTACACTTTTTATCCCGTTCAAAATTCACATCTCTTCCCTCCGTTTATACATAATATCTGACGAAATTTCGTTGAAACAATCATTCAACCTTACACGTCACTATTTGATAGCCCTTTAACAATAAAAACATCACTAATCTAAATATGGCGCAAACAGTTTTTTATGAGAAAAATCAAGTACGTATCAGGTATGCATCAGGTATGTATGTAAGTATGTAATGTAATGACAGGCAACAAAAAAAAAAAATTGCTAGTCTAACGGCAACTTATCGCTGAAACACAATTAGCTCCATTAGGTTACGATGAAAGCAGATTGATCTGTGAAAAAGAATTTTTGTCTTAAAAATTCTCGCGTTCTTTAATATCTGTTAATATATGTATTTAGGGATGTTAAGTGGTCCACGGGGGACCAGGTCCGGACCGGTTCTGGACTGGACTTTTTAGGACTTTTTAGAGGCCATTCCGAAACTAGTCCAGATAATCACATGATATGAATTGAATGCCATTTTGACACTTTGAATGAAATTTAATAAAACTTAAATCAAGAACAATACTTTTAATTGCCTTAATTTAAAGAAGTATAATGTCCTTTGATTGGGTTAGGTATTCTGATTGGTTGTTTTAGTGATTGTTCTTTTTTTTTGCCGTATAACGATAATACAAAATTTCAAAATTATATGCATTGTATATTAAAACCACTAGAGTTGGGCCGGTTTCAACAGGGGTTATGAACTAGTTTCTAACTAGACTTTTTAAGGACTGGACTGGGACTGGACCAGACAGACTTTTTAACATCCCTACATGTATTCATAGTGCGGATTCTTCCGAAATTATTTCTGCAGTTCAAAAAAAGATCGATTTCGGATATTTATATCATTTAATTAAAATTTGCATTTTAGATTCATAGATGATTGGTGATCTATTGAAAACCTATAAATAGTTGAAATTTTAATTAGTCAGTTCTAATAATTTATACGTATAGTATGAATTTAGATCTGCAAAACATTTCAATTTGAAATTTTCTATACATATATAATAATATAATAAAGTATAATATATATAAAATAAAGGATGTTGGCAACCAACTCCTTGTTTTCCTATCATGAATGATTGTATAACTCTAAAATGTATTGAATCTGGTGCAACAAATTTACAAAGTGATGACCGATTAATATTTTTGTTTTGTTTGGCGATCTTGTCACACTATTTATGGATATTTCTAACACAGATTCGAGAATAAAATTCTAACTACATTAACTACATGAATATTCTAAATTTGAAATAAATTATAAGATTTATAAGATAATTTCTTTTTAACTATATTATATAAGATTTATAAGATGTGGCGAGGTAATTCTAAACTATATTATAAGATTTATGAGATGTGGCGAGATAATTTCTATGATTCTTTTTAACTATTATTAGTCAAGCTCTCCCAAAGACACCTCAACTCTTCTAATGATCGATTATGACCATCAACGATACCAAATTTTAGTATGATATCACCTCTAACATCTTGCTTCGCATTTCGTTTTTGTAAAGTATAAGCACAAGGCATATTTTTGGGATCATCAAAAGATCTAGGTAGACCATCATTTAAACCACCAGCGTTTCTTGCAAATATTTGTCTTATTGGAATTGTCACTTCGCCTAGGAAATCTCGGCCAAACCGATCTTTGTCCCATACTGTTATAGTAATGTGAGGTGGAATTACATTTTCAACTAGTTTAATATCAAAGGTTGTATTCCAAATTGGATTTAAATTTTTTTTGATTACAGCAGTTGCATATTTTTTGTTCGCAATACGGATAACAGCATATGGATCAGAAAAACCATCTCTATCACTACAAAAAAAAAAAAAAAAGAAAAAGAAAACGACGTAATTTTTTAGATCTGATGCTTGTGACGTACGTTCAATTTCTACTTTAATACTTACGCTGCTGCTAACTCTCTAGCTGAGAGTACACCAATTCTAAGAGTTGTTTCCATGATTATAATATGAAGTGTCTAATATGTATTAACAATGAGAAAGTTAACAAAGTGATAAACAAGGAGTTAGTTGCCAACATCCTTTATTTTATACTTTATTAACATTATATATGTATAGGAAATTTCAAATCGAAATGTTTTTTGCAGATCTAAATTCATAATAAATTTTTAGAACTGGCTAATTATAGGTTTTCAATAGATCACCAATCATCTATGAATCTAAATGCAACTTTTAATTAAAAGAACCAATGATCAGAATATTAAGAATTATATTTTATTGGTTAGCATTAGTTAGTTTCTATTCTCTAATATCATTTGTTAATATTCAGCATCATAAATAACCAAATTTGACCTCTGTTTTTTCTAGATTAAATTCATAAGCGAAAGAATTCTACATACCAAGCGTTTCATGGATGATATAAATATCCGAAACCGATCTTTTTTTTTATTTGTTTATTTTGAACTGCAGAAATAATTTCGGAAGAATCCGTACTATGAATACATATATTAACAGATATTAAAGAACGCGAGAATTTTCAAGACAAAAATTCTTTTCACAGATCAATCTGCCTTTATCGTAACTAACTAATGAAGCTAATTGTATAGATGTGACAAAGTAGTTCCACGATAAGTTGCCATTAGACTAGCAAAATTTTTTTTGCTGCCGCAGAATGCCTGTCATTACATTACATTACATACGTACATACATACCTGATACACCTAATACTAGAGATGCGAGAAAACCATGTAATGCTGAATAATCACAAGGAAATAACTAGTAATTTTTTTAAGTCGCATGCAATAAGCATAAGCTATAGTGTGCGATGATTTAGCATCACATTGTTTTCTCGGCATTTCTACCTGATACGTACCTGATTTTTTTCATAAATTGTTTGCACCATATTTAGATTAGTGATGTTTTTATTGTTTAAAAGACTACCAGCGACGTGTATAGAATTTTGAACGAGATGAAAAGTGTACTAACAGCTAAGCCAAAATTTTATAGTATTCTGTCATATTGTATGAAAAGTCGAACATAAATACCTGGGTATTCCTTAATTCATTTTCATATATCTATTGGTACAATATAATGTTTCGGGTTTTATAGTAATTTTCTAACATTTATTGAATTCGATTATCAGGTTAAGTATGTCCTTATATTGATATTTTTCCGTCCAGTAAAATATTGTCCATGTTTTCTTGGCAGTCCGCTAATTTTCATGCTTCCATCCAGTTTACGCAGTTATACGTAAAAAAAAAAAACCCCAACTTTAATTAACATTTAGTCTAAAAACAGGTTATTGCAATAAAATATTGCATTGTTCCACAATTCTGATCGTTGACTCTATTACATCATTATTATTTTGATTGGTTAACATTAACTATTTATTTATTGGTTGCCATTAAATTCATTCCAACATTCTAATGGGATTGTTCAATTATTCTAAATTATTCTTTTGGAGGAATTTATTTAATTTTTATTTAATTTTTTTTTACTGGAACCACTGGAATATTGAAAAATAATGGAAACCCAACAGGGTTCCAGCTTCCAGTCAGCGGCAGGGTTTATGAAAGACGCGATAAATGATTCTGACTTAGACAAGATTGTTAAGAATCAAACTGAAATGTATATGTCGCTCGTAAAGATATTCCCTTGAGAATCTTTTAAAATTCATTGATTAAATCACTTTTTATTAATTTACTTCAATAGTCATCAAATTTTGGAATCAACAGCATCTTCTTTAACCCAATTCAATGAATTCAGTTCAACAAAATATGATGAACTTGCAAAAAAATTTGAATTACATTCTAAATGTATTAAAGAAATGAAAATTGACTTGGAATATATTTTTAAAAAGATAAGGTATTTCTCAAATCTTTGTTTTATTGATAGCGTTCAATAATTTTTTATTAAATATACGATATATATTTATATATATATGTGTCAGGTTATTAAAAACTAAAATAGCAAGTCAGCATCCTGACGTTTTTGAACAAGTGGAAAAAAAACTTCCTAAAAATGATGAGGATGATGATTAAATAATAGATATATAAAATTTTATAATCAAGAAATTCATTAAGTTATTATTAAAACAAAAAAAATAATAAAAAAATAAAAATCTACTACTAATTAACAACATATATTAATTCATATATGAGTAATCATTATAACTATTTGCTTCAAGGTTTGTAATATCTGTGCCAGACACCTTACGTCCTTTAACAAATACAGCTTTAATGTTTCGTTCGTCTCCAAGAAACATAAATTTTTCAAATATCCTATCAATAGTATCAATGTCATCAAATATCTGCATAGATGATCCTTCCGCTTCTGAATCAATCAATAGTGCATCAAATTCCTTTCCAACTGTAAAGTTTCCAATCACATCTTCAAGATTTACGAGTTGTGCTCCACCCATAGTTGCTAGGTACGTTAGTTCTGGAAGTGTGAGGTGTGGATAGACTTTATCATTTGTCTTTGATGAAATATAAATCACTCGACTAGCAATACTAGCATTTCGTATAGAATCTAAAATTGATTTGGAAAAACCTCCGCTTATATCTGTACCCAAGCCAACTTTGATACCTTCATCAAGCAATTGACGAACATTACATACACCAGAACAAAGCGCAAAATTTGAATTTGGACAATGTGAAATTCCAACGTTACGTTCTTTGATAAGCTTACGCTCTTGGGGAGATAAATGGATACAATGTGCCATTATGGTTCGATGATTTAAAAGCTTATGATGATCATAGACTGTAGTGTAATCTGCATGATGTGGAAATAATTCATTTACAGTGGCAACCTCTGCTGTGTTCTCTGAAAGGTGAGATTGGATTGGAATTTTATGTTTCTTGGCGATTTCACCAAGAGAATTCATAAGTTTAGATGTGCAACTAATTGCAAATCGTGGCGTTATGATTGGTGTAACAAGACTAGACTCATCTGTAGATTCATTTTTCAGACTTAACACGTATTCCACAAATTGCTCTGTATCTTTCACACTAGATTCCATTGTTTCAACATAAGTTTCGGTACTATTACAATCCATATTCACTTTACCGATGAACCCTCTTTGACCTTTTTGTTGAACTACCTTAGCTAAAATTTTGCTAGACTCTAGATGAATGGTTGCAAAGTAAACTGCCGTAGTCGTACCACAACGTAATAAATGATTAACAACAATTGGATATATTTTCTCGGCAAATTTGGTTGATGAGAATGATTGTTCCAAAGGAAAAGTATATTTGTTAAGCCAGTCAAGCAAAGGTAAATCCATACCAATGCCTGCATTTGGATATTGTGGTGCATGCTGTGAAAAAAAGGTCGATCAACGAATGAATATAGCCAATATTAATGTATCTGAAACGACAGTCATAAAAGTTCATTACCGTATGAGTATCTACAAAGCCGGGTAATAAAAATTGTCGATTGGTTAAACGAACGACCTTTTAGTAAAATCAAATAAAATTAAATTACGTAATTAATATAATATTTGTAATTATTACATTATTTTGTACACTTTACTTTATCTTCAGTAGTTCTCCATTTCTTTATAATATCGCGTAAAGTTTGCTCGTTTGAAACATTACGTTCTAAGAAGGCAATTTTGCCCTGATTGTCGACACCCAAAAGAGCATTGTGAATGAATTCAAGTTCAGTAAGTGACAGTGAATGTATCAAAGTGCCATAAAAAATTTGAGAAATTGTGGCAGCCATTTAATAAACGTATACGTAAGAGAACTTCAGTAATCACGTATTATATAATAAATTATTCATCACATATATGGCAAATAAGAAATAAGCTCCATAGATAGTATATAATTTATACCTAAAATTTATCAGTCTGATACCATAGAAAGATCCTTATCTTTACTACGTACGTATGTATAATTTTAGTTGATTAAAATTAATTATAAACTCTATATATCGATATATATAGTTTTTTGACATCATTGTTTAATAAAGCAAACGTTATCACTGGACAAATCGGACATTTGTACAATTATGATATAGCAGATAATGTACCCGGAGGTATTCTGCGGATAAAAATTCGTATATTCGGATACTATTCATATTATACAGTATATTTCTGTATTTCGAAGAATAGCATATGTTTATACTTTAAACATTGAAGACTATCAAATTTTAACAAGAAACGTATAGCGGGTATATCTTTAGTCTTTGTTAATATCCGATTACAAGTATCATCATTTTACGCTTTAATGACATGCTCTAAGCTATTACTGTATTAAATCGAAATTAACTTTGAATATTATAGAGTCAAACTTTTCATCAAATAATTCATATAATAATTGCTTCGATCCGTTGGATATCATGATACAAAGAAACCACGTGATGCGAGGTACCTGAAACATTAAAATTTTATTTAAACTAGTCTAAAAAAAAGAAAGACAATCTTATCCATTAGTTAAGCCGAAGAATGTAATTTTAATACAGTAATACCCACAAAAATCCAAATTAATCATTAACTTCGCAAACCTTGGATAAATTCATTGGTAATTTTTATTTATACGACATACTCGGCGAATATAATCCTATTTGGTGCAGGGATGGTAAATGATCCGAAATGACCCAGAATGATCGGTCATTTTGGTAATCTAATTTTCGTGTAACCAAATGACCTAGGTCATTTATAAATGACCAAAGTCATTGGGTCATTAGGTCATTAAACATACTACAATCGGGTGATGCGACAAAATGAGGTTGGGTATTATTAGTACATACTGTATAGGTTGGATCAAGAGAGTTTACGCATGCAAGGCTTAATATTAAGTTTTGGAACCGGTTTCATTTCATATGTTTTGACCGGTTTACCATCCAAAGCGAAGAATAAGCCCTTACTTTAAGCATATATGCGCATACAATATTTAAAATATCTTCTACCATCTGGACTAACTTCAAGCAAGGGACACGAAAATTATTTGACTTAGGGTGCTCTCAAGTACTGTACCTAAATTAATAGTTCGGAGCTTATTTAATTATATAGTTTAGCCGGTTAAGTGAATTTATTAACGCGAGGAAAAAAAGATGGTCTCGACCATCTTTTTTTATTATAGTTGTACTATTGGCTAACATTTAATATCCGCATTCCGTGGTATGAATTTCAGCAAAATTATCGTAAGGATCACGTCAATAATCGCACGATTCAAGACCTGCCATCAGGCTTTCGATTATATTTCGTACCGGACACAATCTCTAACAAATTTGATTGAAAACCTGATGGCAAGTTTTCCCTTAGCGACACTCATGCAATGCCAATTTCAAACCAAAATTAACTTAAATCGAAAAAAATTAAAAATTAATAATAAAAAATAAAAGCTCAGAATAATTTCACATCAACAGTTCAGCAGTTAAGCTCATACGTACGCACATGTGTACGTACAGTACATACTAGGGCCGGCGTTGCCAAGTACGGCATGGGAACTATGTTTTATTAATTGGAGATTTTTGTAATAAACACCCGATAATAAGCTACCCTTTTGTCAAGCAAAAATTTTTCGAAAAACCCGAAAATAAGTTACTCTTCATTTTTTTGTATTCAAAAAATTACTTTTAAAAAAATAGCTTATTTTCAGGAATATACAATATATTTTTCAAATGACCAGGTCATTTCACTCTTTTAAATGACCGGTCATTGGTCATTATTCACTTGAGTCACGAGGTCATTTCAGATCATTGATTTGGTGGGATCAAATTTCATTGCAAACATCTAAAAATATCTATTTCTTATTTAAATTTATACAATATATTACTGTATATATACATTAAAAAAAAAAATTCGACTCACAACATATACAAGATTATTAAGTTTATGCAAAATTGTATCTAGAAGTTAGTTAAATGAATTATAAATCAAATTAGTAAAGATATACAGTACCTCCCTACTTGCAACAAGTCTAGAGTACTATTTTGATATTTTGAACTTTAAAACAAAATTTAATTTTTCGCATAATGTTCCATAGAACCGATCTGAATCCGTACTCGACGGATCTTAAAAATATCGAATTTGGATTCGTATGAAGATCCGATCTGTCATATGTAAATAGAGGTCAAAAAAGAAGTATTTGAATATTTATTTGTTCAATTCAGTGAAACAATTATACATTCGAATATACCATTCATCAGATCAGACTTCTCTATGTGCTATATTTGAACACTAATTCGAATGTACACTATTTTCGCATATGCTAGAATGTTAGTTCGCCAAATTAGCCAATAATATAATTAGTTGATTGTTTTGGTCCTAAAATCACATGTATGTTTGTTTTGAAGATCAGTAATTTGCCGTATATAAATTACCATTGCTCGTGTTTTTTTTTCTTGTCCTGATTTGCTTTCTTTTTTCCCTGCAAGATCTATCATTTCCCGGAAAAGGAATAGTTCTTGTGAAATTATCAACAAAAAGGTTCAAAAGAGGATACAGAGTACATAGTGAATGCTGACGATTTATACCTGGCTCACACGCAGATGTTGTATTCTTATAAAAACAGTGCAATAGATGTAAGTGTTCTCAAGGTATGATTTTATGATCGCAAAAAAAAACAAAAACACAATATATTAGAAAATATATACTATCACTATAGTTCGCTATGGGTGGTGTACATTTTGCCAACAATCACTTCACCGACAATTAATTCACAAACAAGTTCATTTTACCAACAATTAATTTACTGGTTCATTTCACCGACAATTATTTCACTGACAACTTATTTCACCGACAAAGTAATTCTGGTCATTGTTGTTAGTGTCAGATTAGAATTAGAGTTAAGGTTAGCATAATTTATAAAAAATACTTGTTGATGAAATGAGCTGTCAATGAAATAATTGTTGATGAAATGAACTTGTTGGTGAAATGAACTTATCTGTGAATTAATTGTCTGCGAGCTAAGTTGTCGGTAAAATAACACGTATCCGTTTACTATAGTTGTATTAGTATTAAAAAATAATTCAAAAATAATAGATAAATATTCACTAATTACCTTAAATACAGTATATTTATCAGTTTCTGGCTTGGTATGACAATGTTATACAGCTGTTTATAACTTAACAAAGCCTTAATCAAATTTAATAAAAATTTTTTTAAGTTTTTTTAAGTTATTCTTTGTTTAAAGTTTTTAAAAAAAAAATATTTGCTTGGTTTCTATTGATTCAACCCTATATACTTATCCCTTAATTGGTAGAGATTTGCAGGCAAATTTGTCTGTATAATTACTATAAATATGTCTCTGATTTACTTTTTTAATTA